TTAAACCGATTGGAGTCCAATCCTTGTTTGATGAACCTCTGATTGATCCATTGATCTGTTGATTGATTCACTCCCTCACCTCTGATCCATTTATGCAAACTGTGTGTTTACAAGAATCATTTATCTGAGACAGTAGAGTCTGGGTTGAAGGTGGCGATACTATTCAACTAAAGAACAGAACCGGACTGCGTATTTAAGTAGACACTGATGAAATGTTCCTGGCTCACTGACAAATAACAGTTTGCATTATGAGCAATTCAAAAATGTTTGAATAAATAGTTTTCAAAGCTTGCATCAGGTTTGCAAAAATGTATATTTTGTATTATTTCTGTTGGTTTCATGTCATTTCAAATAGCTTTTGAAGCATTTTTTACAAAAGGAAAGACGGATTGCCCCTGAAAATGTCAAGTGGTGTAACCACAACAAAAGGAGAAATATGAAATATCTGTTTCCACCGAGAGTGTACGCAAGTGTCATTATAAAAACAGTTACTTCATTTTAATATATTACTTGAAAATAGGTTTTATTAGGATTATTTGAAAATACAATTTGAATGCGTATTTGCAATGTAGACCAGGACGAATGCTGAAATCCCCTGGCGTTTTCTAAATAACGTTTGACAAATTATGTGTAAACTGTTAAAAAATGTGGTGGTACATTGCGATAGAGGATCACATCTTCTTCCCCATGAATGTTCCTGTAAATTATAATATTTGAATGAAAAATACTGCTTCCACCAATTGACACAAAGCAGTTACACCACTTGACCGTGTTGCTTTTCCAGAAGAAACTGGCTCTACAAATCAAGCGTGACAGTCGACAAGGTCAATTGAACTTTTTCTTATTTTCAATGAAGAAAAACCATCACCGACAAGAATTGGGTGTTTTCTATTGTTAATTCATTGAAGAATCAGTTTAGGAAACAAACATGTGAACTTCTGTTCTTTTATGAAATCATTTAAAAAACAAACTTCCAAAAATCATGTGAACTTGAGTTTTCTATTGTGAAAAGAAGAACATCTGACTGCAATGAATTTGTGTTCAAACGTGTCAGAAGTTGTAGAATCGGGTGTTTCTGGCTGTGTGTGTGTGGTTTGAAATGTTTTCTTATGTTATTTAACTAAACCACAGGAACACAACAGAAACTGCGTCCCGTCATTGAGCGTCCTACAGAGAGCGGCTCATCGGATGCTGATATAATAGTGGCGTCGCTTTATTGTCTAAGTCTGATTTCTTTGGGTTTGGAGTCTGTTTCATCTCGTCGCGTCTTTGTTCCCAGGTCACATGACGGTGGTCCACGACCCGCTGAGGACGTTGTCGGTGCTGGAGCCGGGCGGGCCGGGCGGCTGCGGGATGAATCACACGGCCTCGGTGGAGGAAACGGCGAAGGCTGCCGGGTGTCTGTACGCCCAGAACGCCGGCTTCTTCAACACCGCCAAAGGCTGCTGTCTGGGCAACGTGGTGAGCGACGGCAGGATGGTGAGGGACGGCGGCGGCGTGCAGAACGCCCAGTTTGGAATCAGGAGGGACGGCACCCTGGTGTTCGGGTAAGAGATCCGGCTAGAACCGACTCTGAAGGCCCAGCTCCACCTCCAACCGCGGTCCCAACGTTAAAGGGTTGGACCTGATGATATCAAGGATCATCAAAAGTTATTATAATTCATCCTGAGGGGCATTATTGATCACACCTGTGTACTATTTAATGTCTAAATGGCTGCTGTGACAAAGACCCACGCTAGCTAGTCACTGAATATCCCAGTTAGTAGTTATAGAAACATTAATGTAATGGTGTCCTGATCTTCCTCCCAGGTATCTGTCGCAAGAAGATGTTTTGGACCAGTCCAACCCCTTCGTCCAGCTGGTCAGCGGTGTGGTGTGGCTGTTGAGGAACGGCGAGGTTTACATCAACCAGAGTCTGAAGGCCGAGTGCGACAAGACGCAGGAGACAGGTACATATAAATAGATATGTGTGTATATACATATAAATAGATATGTGTGTATATTAGCATTTAAATTAGATATTGTGTGTATATACAGATATAAATAGGACTATGTGTGGTATATACATATTAAATAGATGTGTGTGTGTATATACACGTTACATTCATATTATCCACAGGACAGCTGGTTTCCTGTCTGCCTGCCAGGTCTCAGTTTTCTGCTCCAATGAAAACACTACCAGGAGGCCGATTGGATCATCTTATAACGTCATATATCGTTCATTAAGACGACGACCTCTTGATAAGTGACCATATTTTATGATTTATATTTATTCATTAGTTTACTCATTC